AAGTGTAATAACCATGATTTTTATTTTTTTTTGTATAACCACAGTTCCTCTTCAGGAACTCGAGCTGCGTCGAAAATGCTAAGGGAACGCCTTCTGCGACCCACGCTCTGAATCACATGTGAAATCAGTCCAATAGCTGAATGGGATGTCACAGCAGATGACATCATGACCAGGAAGCTATAAAAGCACGTGCGGCGGAGCCAGCGTCAGCTTTCTGTCATTCAGCGAAGCGCTCTGTGTGTGTCAGTCATATTTATTGTTGTCTGTCTATTGTGAGAAAAAAGTCTAATAAGCAGCTATGTCTAAGGCTCACGCTAAGACAAAGCATGCAAAGGGCGAGTGCAAGCCACGTTATAGGTTGTGTGCTCCTCCCTGCCCACGTTATATCACGAGTGGGGATACACACAGCCTGTGCATGGTTTGCTTGGGAGCGAAGCACACAGAGTCGGCTCTTGAGGGGGCCGGCTGCCCGCATTGCGAGCGCCTCCCACTGTGTACGCTTCGCTCCCGGAGGGCTCTCTTTGAGGAGGGAGCCTTCGCCAGCTTCCGTCGAGTCGGAGCGGCGGCTGCATTCGTGGGGTTCGCAGTTGGATCTGGCGGAGGGAATGGAGACAGGCTAGTCCTTATCTCCTTCCTCACCCACCAGATCCAGTGCCCGATCTTCCGGTCTCTCAACTGAGGTTGTTGAGACCATCCTCCAATCCAGAGCTCCCTCCATGAGGAAACTGTACTCTTGGAAGTGGAAACTTTTCACTTCCTGGTGTAGAGACAGCCAGCTCGACCCAGCTAGCTGCCCAGTTGGTAAAGTACTGGAGTTCCTGCAGGCCCGGTTTTCTACAGGGTTAATCCACTCCACCCTGAAGGTCTATGTGGCGGCCATTGCGGTCTACCATGCCCCTCTTGGTGGCATTTCAGTGGGGAGATACCCCCTGGTTACACATTTCCTCCACGGTGCGCTGAGGCCTCCGGTACGATCTCGTTTCCCTACATGGGACCTAGCAGTGGTGCTAGAAGCTCTCTGTAAGCCTCCATTCGAACCTATCGAAGAGATTTCTGATCGCCATCTTACAATAAAGGCTACCTTTCTTCTGGCAATATCTTCTCTTAAGAGAGTTGGGGATTTACAGGCCCTCTCGGTGGCCCCTTCCTATCTTGACTTTGCGCCCGGTCTGGCCAAAGCATTTCTGTACCCTCGTGTTAGGTATGTCCCAAAAGTCCCCTCATCAGCACCACAGCCCATTGTACTTCAGGCCTTCAGTCCTCCTCCCTTCAGGGAACCAGACCAGCAGAAGCTTAACTGTATGTGTCCAGTGCGAGCACTGGATGCATACGTCCACAGAGCTGCCCTGTGGAGGAGGGCGGACCAGTTGCTTGTGTGCTACGGTCCCCCTAAGAGAGGTCTTCCAGCAACTAAGCAGGCCCTCAGTCGGTGGATAGTGGATGCCATCTCCTTATGTTACGAGTCCTCTGATCTCCCCTCGCTGTTAGGGGTCAAGGCTCGCTCGACTTGAAGTGTTGCAGCCTCTAAGGCTTTCTTAGCGGGTGTGCCTATGCAGGACATCTGCAACGCTGCGGGTTGGTCCACGCCCCTTACCTTTGTTAGGTTTTATGAGCTAGACATGCAAGCCACTCCTGGCTCTTCCGTTCTCTCGCCCTAGTTGTGCAGTCTTCAACACTAGGCAGAGACTTGGAAGTCTGGCGGCGTGGGCATTCTCGTTCCCCTAGCGTTTTCGATGCAGGTCGAGTTCCTGAACAGGAACGTCTCAGGTTACGTATGTAACCCTAGTTCCTCGAGGGAACGAGATGCTGCGTCTCGGTGCCATACTTCCGGCGTCCCTGCCGGCGCTTGCTTCATTCCTAGAAGCTGACGCTGGCTCTGCTGCACGTGCTTTTATAGCTTCCTGGTCATGACGTCATCCGCCGTGACGTCCCGTTCAGCTAGTGGACTGATTTCACATGTGATTCAGAGCTTGGGTCGCAGAAGGCGCTCCCCTAGCGTTTTCGATGCAGCGTCTCGTTCTCTCGAGGAACTAGGGTTACATACGTAACCTGAGACGTTTTACTATAAATAGCATGGTTAAAGGGGTCATATGATGCTATTTTAAAGATCATTATTAATGTTCAAAAAACACATTATTTTATATTTAATACTGTACATTATTGTAGGTCCTCTCTGCCCCGCCTCTCTCAAACATGTAGTTTTCAACAAAGCCCCCTCCTTTGACAAGCGCAGTCTGCTCTGATTGGCCAGCTGACCCAGTGCATTGTGATTGGCCGAACTCCACAAGCACGCATCAGAAATGTAACGCCCCTTACCATAATCGCGAGCTTAAGCTTTCAAAGTAAACATCAAGATAGTTAATAATGTCCTTAGTTTTACCATCAGTAAAAAAAAAATAAAAAAATAAACTCCGAAAGGGCAACAGAGTCTCGTGACAGACACAGTGATGATGCAGTACACAAGCCGCGGTTAAGACAGCTGACAAACATACGTACAGTCGCTGATTCAGAAGCGCCAGATTGTCAGCAAAGTCGGAATTTTCCTTTTTTTTTTTTTTTTTTAGAAATAGCCTTTGTGTACAGCCAGCCTTGTACTCTTCTAGGTTCAAAAAACTGTCGTCCATAAAATGCGTTGCACAAATTCGAACATCTGGGTTGTGCTGTTCTGTTGTAAATAAATCTTAACCAATGATTCCTAATTGCATCTACTTCCAGAAGGCCAAATAAAGTGCTTTTGCTTTCGCACTGAACCGCACAGCGTCTCCCTGACATGCTGCATCAACACTACTGCGTTCCTGAAACCACGCCGCCTTTCTTTGCGTGCACATTTGGGCGGCATTATGCTAATATTTCCAGATAGTGAATTAGACATGTGGGGGCGTGTTAGAACGAGCCATTTTAGGTAGGTGTGGCTGACTCTTAACTTTTATAAAGAATATCTCTTTGGATTTGAGACTTTAGTCTTTGCAACTTTACAGATCTTCTTTATGCACCAAGAGCTTGTAACACTCCAAAGAGAAAGGAAAACTTGAAATCGCATCATATGTTCCTTTTAATATGGTAAACATGGAGACCAAGACGGCAGAAAGCGCACCCTGTTTGTTTTTGTTATTTTACAAAAGGGTTTTGTTGTTTCGTATGACCAAAAGTAATGGAGTTGAAGCTCTTTCCGCTGTTATCGGGATCGTTATCGAGTGCAGTAGCCCACTTGTTGCACTCTGTACAAGTTGTAAAGCTTCAATTGTTTGTAAAAGCAAATTTTCTTAAATATCTCATAGTTTTGCATTTATTTTAAGTAGCTTTTTTTATGGTTTTAGTGACTTTAGTAGCCCTGGTTTTAATTTCTGATATGAGCCATAATCCTGTTGATAGAAACATCATGTGTTTTTATTTCATGAAGCTGCTGTTCTCTCTGCTCTGTAATGTGTTGTATAGTAAATGGGAGAAAGCGTGATGAGAAGAGACAGACTGCTGTCAGAATGACTGAAGATGTTGTTCCTGCACCGCTGTGATTTTGTGAGCTCCTCAGTTCAGTTCTGCTCAGGTTGCAGGTTTGAAAGCATCAGGATCCCTTCAGGAAGAAAGCAATCCTCACCACAGATGTGAAGCCACAGAAAGCCTGATAAATAAAGATTGTAATTGATTCCATTGCGAGGAGTATTCTTCAGCCACGGGAAGCTCCTCCGGGACGCTTTTGTGGGTTAACTGAATTAACACTGCTCTCTCGACTCAGAGAAAACCTGAAAGTAATTGAAAGATCCACAGGCAACTTTTCTGTTGCATTTATTCAGTTTATCTTCCAGAGGAGACAGAGACAACTTCACAAAGTGGAGTCAAATACTTCGAGAATAAGGAAAAACCTGGTGTTTTTAGATTAATCTCAGTCTTGTGTGCTTTACAGGAATAGTTCATCTGAAAAGAGAAAGGGTTTTCTGTGAGTTTCCTGCACAAAGCTCTCATGTGACTTACATTTTTACAGTTACATTACCGCATTTTAGCAGATGCTTTTGTCCAAAGCAACTTACACAAGAGGAACAAAGACATTCAAGAGCCAACGATATTTATATCTTGCATGAGTCAAATCTAGTACTTTTATGATATTTTTTATTTATGTTTTACATGCCTTGTTGCAAGGATTCCCAATCTTTTTTGTCATCTGAACCTCTTTGAGATAAAATATTTATTTGAAGACCCTATGAGATTTTTAAGTTAATATTTTAATAATTTAACAACATGTTTGCATGTTAACTGGTGTTATGTAACATGTAGGTAAACAAAAACATATTTTCAATATCTTTTTAGTAAGTGTATTATTTTGACTTTATTATTTATTCTAAATTTAAATTTAAGACAAAATTGTAAATGTAAAATTTAAATGTTGAAGTAATTAATTATTAGCTTTGCATCAACTCTGTGGAATAAATGTTATTTAGGCCTACATTTAATGTGTATGTGTTTGACTTGCCTATAAAATTGCATTCAAATTGCATGGATTATACAGATTTAATATAAATGAATAATTATTAATATAACCTGATTAATATATGAATCAGGTAATTTCAATAAATAAATAGTTTATTATTAATTATGTGCATCTATTTGATTTTATTTAAATAATCATATTTTCAAAATGCATTTCTTCTAATTGCTTAGCATCAGCATAAATCCATTGATTATGAAGCCAATTAATTTAATTCAGTTAAAAAGTATGAACAAAATATGACTAGCTGCAGAACACATATTATTTTGAGTGCATGACGAAGTGTTTATTTTGGCGCAAACTGTTCCTTTAAAACAAACAACTGTTTGAATGTTGGGTTATGCATGAATTACGTTTTTGCGTTGTTTTTTAACAACAATTAACTGTCATTTTGAAATCCCTTCAGTTCTCTATTAGACAGAGTTTCCAAAATATTATTATATTTGTTCACTTTATTAAATGAATCAATCTAAATCTTATAATGTCTTCTAACACGTTTGTTTTTTTGCTTTTTCAACAGATGAAAACCGGACTTGCCCTTTTGTACGATGAGCACACAAGTAACACATACGACGTTCGTTTAAAGTTAACGAAAGAGCTGTTAATCATACAGAAGCAGGATGTTGTTTGCGTGAGCGGCGGTGACTCCCATCTAAATGTAAGTACTGAGTCTTTACCTTCGATTCGATCATGACTCAAACAAGTTTATCATGTGCTCAACACTGCGAATCACAGTCGGCCGCAGGAGAGTGTTTTGTTGACAGATTACAGAACAAGATGCATTAGACAAGTTTTCATTACATTTGACATCGTTGTCATGAAGCACACACCACTTCATTGTTTCATGAGATGCATCATCATCATCATCATCATCATCATCATCATTCATAAAAGACGTCAGTGGCTTCACGCTCCGGCCCCCGATGCTGTCAAAACACAATGACAGTCATTAAATGATGCACAGTGGAGAACCCAATATAGTCATAATCAACATCATTAGTGAGGTTAGAGCATCATTATAATCTGTTTTATAACTATAAGTGACCTGATCCATCATTTAGAGTCACTTTGACCCAGAAACACATTTTGAGTTTTGTGCAATTAAAGGGAAGTAAAAAGGAAAGCATCGGCTTTTCTAATGGTGTAATTATGTTTCCACTCTAAAGTGAGATCATTTACGTTTTGGCCGTCATGAACCTTTGTTACTGAGAAATTGTTTGCAATCCTTTGGATGTTATTTGATAAAGTTTTATAAAGTCTTCCCATTTGAATTGATCAACTTATTCCCATAAAGATTACTAAATCATTACAGTGATTTATCACACTGCTTGAACATTGTTTGAATATCAAATTTACAAAATTGGAAAGTTGAGATGTGTGTATTTATTTATCTATGTATTTGTAATGTTATTAAAAAAATTAGACACATAAACAGTAAAAATGTATTAAGTTTTCTTTTTTGTTTATTTTCCCCCTAATATTACCTATATTTGAAAGTTTTTAAATGTCTTTTTTAATCTTATTTAAAAAATAGCCGCGTGAACAGTAAAATAAGTGTATGTTTGTATTTATGTATTTATTGTTGTATTTATTTATTTGCCTGATATGACTTGTTTTTTTAAATTTGAGACTTTGTTAATTCATATTATTTAAAAAAAAACATTCAACACATAAACAAAAAAAAAATTTTTTATTTTATTTATTTTTTTATTTTTTTATTTTTTTTATTGTATTGTAATTTAATTTAATTTATTTATTTATTTCCCAATATTACCTGCACATTATGGAAGTTATGGCTTTTTTTCTTTTTAAAATGTTATTTAAAAAAAACACTAGACATAAACAACAATTTATTTAATTATTATTATATATTTTTTTTTACTTATGTATTTTTTGCTTGATATTACCTGTATTTTAAAAGTTGAGAACTTTTTTTAAAACATATCAATAGTAATATTGATTGATTTATTTAGCCTGATATTATCTGTATAAAGCATTTTTGTGTTTAGGTTTCAACTGAAGTGTTGCCTTATGACCACTTCTTTCTTTATTATGTGTTATGTGGTTGATGCTATGAATATTTTACCAACTAAATTCCGATTTTTTAAAGCACAGAACTGTTGTACTTCGAAGACAGCTGACTGGAGGTCTCGGTCTGAGTATCAAAGTAGGTCTTTTGCTTCTTTTAATATCGTTCATTCACTTTAAAGAGCTTAATTAAACACGCTCAGGTAGTGCACGCGTATCTCCACAGGCCAGATAATTATTGCACAATATTAGCCTTTTAAAGATCAAAGAGGATCTTGATATAAGGATCAAGTCTCATTAGTTTTATTCACAATAATCTTTGAAGAGGCAATAGATTTGTATTTCTGAACAGTGCTGGATGTAAGATGTAGAAGTGAATTTCCTTGACGGCTCTTCATGCATTTCAGGGGGGAGCAGAACATAAAGTGCCTGTGGTCATCTCAAAGATTTTCAAAGATCAAGTAGGTAAGATGACAAGCGTTCCTCCCATCCGCTGTAAAACAAAGCAAAGCGCTAGCGATAACTGTTAAAGGAGTAGTTTACAATGAATTTGTTGAAAATGTGCTCACCCTCAGGATATCCAAGATGCAGATGAGTTTGTTTCTTCATCAGATTTGGAGAAATGTAGCATTGCATCAGTGTCTCAGCAATGGATGCTCTGCAGTGAATGGGTGCCGTCAGAATGAGAGTCCAAACAGCTGATAAAACTGGAGGAAGCGTTATTATGGATTATGCACTATGGGTTGAAGTTAAAAATGTTTTAAAGGGATCATGAAATGCTTTTTATAAATATTATTTTGTATATTTTGTTTTATTTTCTGAGGTGCACTTATAATCCTAATGTTTTTTTTGTCATCAAAAACTGTCATAATTTACAGATGAATGGTCATTTTCTATCCTGAATTTCACCTCTGATTCCCTGAAGGGACTCTGCTGCAATGGAAACGCCCACTGCGGTGATTGGCTAACATATTTGCATATGAAATGAGCATTACATGTGGAACTCTCTCAAAAACTTGACTGCATTTTTAATGTTATCATGAAAAGCGTTGAGTAGCATTATAATTAGAACGACTTCCTTTGCATCAAGTTTGCAGCCAAGCACAGTCATGTTTACTAAAAAAATGATTTGTTTCTTACAAACATGCAGCTTTTGTCTTCTCCAGATGTGAACTGATGGACTGGAGTGGTGTGGATTACTTGTGGATTATTGTGTTTTTATCAGCTGTTTGGACTCTCATTCTGACGGCACCCATTCACTGCAGAGCATCCATTGCTGAGACACTGATGCAATGCTACATTTCTCCAAATCTGATGAAGAAACAAACTCATCTACATCTTGGATGACCTGAGGGTGAACTATTCCTGTAATATACGGTGTAAGACCTTGTAGAGTACCTACTTTTGTTTTTCATTTAAAATAAATGCACTGCACAGCCTAAATGTAGTCCATTTGATATCCGTATAATTAGCACTTGCTCGCATTATAGTTTATTCATCGCGAGTGTCTGACAGCAGCTGCTAACGTGTGATTAGAATCAGTATTTGAGAACAGTTTATCTTCGTTGCATGCTATAGAGTTCAAATGTATTTTAATCACGGCTAATTCAAGACTGTGCATGTCGGCCTGCATTGCATTTGCAGTTTTATTGCTTTTTATTAGCTTCCCGCTGTCCTTTCTTACTTCTGAGACGCTAAGCGTAGAAATATATCCGCCCTTGATACCAGAAAGCTTATGAAGTTTCATCATATTTGTCAGAAGGCATTGAACTAAAACCCGGATTTGTGTGAAATTCATCCCAAAGTGCTTCGCTAGATCGAAAGGCTCATCAAACTCAAATCCTGATTGCCATGTCATCGCATTAAAGCACTATTAAATGAGTAATTATGTCCCAATCTTTCCATTAACCTCTGGCCGGACCGTCCGGGGCCGTAGCCGATCAGACGGGGATGCTGTTTATCGGTGACGCCGTGTTGCAGGTCAGTGTTTCAGGCTTTCGCACGCTCTCGCTTCTGACGCGGCCCTCGGGGGCCAAGGGTGCATGTTAGAGCGCCGTTCCCTCTGCATTTTAATGACGCTTCCCTCTGATTCATTTTCTCTGGCTTGACTGGAGATTTAACCTTTATCTCATTGCATGAATCAGAGGAACAGCAACAGAGAGAGAGAGAGAGAGAGCAAGAAATAGAGTAATAGTTCCTGTGGTGCGGCTGAAACAAATGGTTTTATTATATTTTGAATGTCATTGAAGCTCTTTATATGTAGGCCCTATAAATACACTTACAGTACAAGTGTGAGACCACAAACTCAGTTAATTTGGCAGACAGTTTTTATATTTAATCAATCAAAAAACTTGCAGCATTTTAGTTTCATAGTAGAGGATGCAGGTAAATGCTGCTGTACTGTACATTTACTACTAACTGAGAGTGTAATCAGAGTTTTTATGCCACAAAATTATGGGTCTTATTAAATTGTATAATTTCTTTAAAAAAATCTTTCTTACAGACCTCAAACTTATAAACGGCTGTGTGTATATAATAATTAATATATTTGTATACAGCTGTGACAACATTTTTTAAAACTATCAACACTAAAATTAAAATGAAAACAAAATATAAAATTTTATATTTTATAATTAACAAAAATCATGGGTCTTATTAAATTATATAATGGAATAAACATACAATTAAAATGAACTTGTACCCTTAAAGTGTGTGTGTGTGTGTGTGTGTCTGTGTCTGTGTCTGTGTCTGTGTGTGTGTGTGTGTGTGTGTGTGTGTCTGTGTGTGTGTCTGTCTGTCTGTGTGTGTGTGTGTGTGTGTGTGTGTGTCTGTGTGTGTGTCTGTCTGTCTGTGTGTGTGTGTGTGTGTGTGTGTGTGTCTGTGTGTGTGTCTGTCTGTCTGTGTGTGTGTGTGTGTGTGTGTGTGTGTCTGTGTGTGTGTCTGTCTGTCTGTGTGTGTGTGTGTGTGTGTGTGTGTGTCTGTGTGTGTGTCTGTCTGTCTGTGTGTGTGTGTGTGTGTGTGTGTGTGTCTGTGTGTGTGTCTGTCTGTCTGTGTGTGTGTGTGTGTGTGTGTGTGTGTCTGTGTCTGTGTCTGTGTCTGTGTGTGTGTGAGTGTGTGTGTGTGTGTGTGTGTGTGTGTGTGTGAGTGTCTGTGTGTGTCTGTGTGTGTGTGTGTGTGAGTGTGTGAGTATCTGTCTGTCTGTGTGTGTATGGTGAAATTAATAAGAAATTTATGTATTTATTTATATTTAATGACATTAATAAGAAATTAATGCTTATTGGATTAAAATTTTAACATTTCAAATTTAAAAGTGACAATAAAAGTGACAGTAAAGACATTTAGATTTCTATTTCGTATAACAGCTGTTCCTTTGAACTCTCTATTTATCAAGGAATCCTGAAAAATAAAATGTATCACAGTTTCTACAAAAATATTGAACAGCACAACTGTTTTCAACATTGATAATAATCAGAAATGTTTCTTGAGCAGCAAATCAGCATATTAGAATGATTTCTGAAGATCATGTGACACTGAAGACTGGAGTAATGATGCTGAAAATACAGCTTTGCATCACAGAAATAAATTACATTTGACAGTATATTCACAGAGAAAACAGTTATTTAGAACAGTAATAATATTTCACAATTTTACTGTTTTTACTGTAAGATTTTTGGATCAAATAAATGCAGCCTTGGCGACCAGAAGACTTCTTTTAAAAGCATAAAAAAAACTTAGTTGTGTACTTAAAAGTACAAAAAAATATTTCTAAAAATAAAACGTGTGGTCGTATCACAGTGAATTTTGCAATAACTGTGGTTGTCATGAAAATCATGTCAAGATACAAATTTTGGGGTGAATTGTGATCTCAATATGTTTTTTTCTGTGCAGGTCAATGGCATCAACGTGGAGAAGTGTACACACGAGGAAGTCGTGAGTTTCTGATCAGCTTTTATCCGTGTTCTTGAAATGACATTGATGCAGAATCACTCAGATTCCACTGAAGCACTCGGTCCTTTATATCAGCAGCGAGTGATTCGCTTCCCTCTGAACGGCCTCAGCTGTACCTGATCGATAGCGAGTAGATTCATCTCGAGAGAGAAAGGATGAGATGCTCGCTCACTCCGGCAGGTTCTTCTCTGTGATCCTGACAGCTGTTCCTCACATCTCCATCCGGACGGGATAGTGATTACACCGAACAACCGCAGACTAACTAAGACATAAAACCAGTTATGCATGAGAGAAGATGACAGAAATCATCCTGTAGGACAGAAACATCACAGATCAGATCTGTAATGATCAGTGGAGATCAAATGAAGGTTTATTCAGATCCCAATGTCTCTAATCAAAAGATTTCAATATGAGCTCAAATGTTTCAAGTTCCTCCAAGATCAGTGATCTGAGCTGCTGTTCGCATTCATGTTATAGCTCTATACTTGTTTTCGGTAACACTTTACAATAAGGTCTCATTTGCATTTGTTTATATTTATTACATATTTATCTAGCAGTCTTTGTTATATATTCGTTTATAAAAATACAATCGTTTGTTTACATCAGTGTTTTAGTATCATTGAGATACTTTTATAGTTTTTTTGTAAATATTTTGAATTTATATTTTTGTTTAATCTTTTTATCAAAAATTTAATATATCATTTTATATTTACGGTTTTCATTTTAATTTTTAGTTAAAGTTTTAAGATTTAGTTGTGTGTTACTGTTGTTATTATTATTATTACATTTTTAGTTTAGTTACATGTAGTTAGCTAATGTTAACGAATTAAACCCTATTGTACAGTGTTACCTCATTTTATTTGTGTCTTTTTATTTCTTCCAAAGAAGTTTTAGGATAAACACTTGAGAGACAAAGTTGATGCTTCATTGAAGCACAACTAAAAGTCTCCTGTGCAATAAAAAAGCAATCTGGGATTTTACATACTCTAGTTGTCTTATGTTTGAGATGCGAGACCAACCTCAAGAGATCATTCAGGAAAATGTGAATGGTTTCTTAAAAATGGTCTTTTAAATATTATTAATCGATCAGAACCAGAACCGCGTGGTCAAACTCATTGACAGGTTACACAACACTCATGATTCTACATTGTATAATCTAGTTTAAAAATCGAAATATCTCTATATGAGCTCAAACATGTTTAGTTTTAAATTAAAAAAGCTTATTTGCAGGAATGCCTACTAAAGGCGAGGAATATCTGTGACTTTAGGCATCTTGAGTTTTAGAGCACAAACACACACGAGGGTTTCTTGGCGAATACGTGTTTTTTTTAGCATCAGCTCTCTGTGGAAATGTTGTACAAGTGTGTCCTGTTTTCATCAGAGAGGGAACGCTCAGATTTGTGGTTATGATTAAATGAAGTCTAACATTCAACATGTAATCAGAACTGATCCTGTTTCTGGTGGTCCTTCACAATCTGCTGCAAACTGCATTCAGATCTGACTTATGATATTAAACGCACTTTGCATCATCACATCAGTTCCTGATGGATAATATCAGTTTCACCCTGTTTTCTTTTTGTAAAATGTGTTAATACCTTTTAATGCTGATTTTAAGTTCTCGTCATGTACTGAAAGTACAAAATCTACCAATTTTCAAAACAATTGATATGAAGCAGAAATAAAGAAAAATTGGAAAACTAGAAAATAAGATGGAAAATTAGAATTTAATAACTGAAATTAATGCAATTATTAAAACTAAGTGAATTACTAAAATGTCATGAATAATGACATGAATAACAAATTTATGTGCGACCAAACAACATTCCCAGACGTTTACTGTAATCATTTATGAGAAATCTCTGAGAGATTACATGCTGATTGCATAGAACTGATTTAATCCAAATGTTGTGGCTCCTCGACTCAATTAGGTGTGAAAGAGCCATTTAAATGCAGCTCAATTGCATCTTCTCATCCTGATGTCAGGAGGATGTTTTATCTCTTTTATATTTCTGCGCAGGTTCATCTTTTGCGGACGGCGGGGGATGAAGTCACCATCACTGTACGCTACCTCAGGGAAGCGCCGGCCTTCTTAAAACTCCCATTAGGTAGGTTTGCTTCGCATCGGAGCTCTGCTACTAAAGCTCACTGTATGGACAGGCAGCTGCCTTCTGAGGAAGCATCCTATCTGAAATGCAACCTCAATAGTGAGTGATTTGGGATGCAGAAATATTGCATTTAACACCAATTGCATGGCAAACACATGGAAGATTGTTGCAATGCTTTCTGGGACTGCCTTCTCTGCAAAGTTTACATGTGAGGCAGCCTTTGTAAAGTAAAGATTATGGCAGAAGCAAGTTGCATTTGTCATAATTAAGATTTAATTGTGATTGTTGCTTATATAGTTTGCATTTTGAGCATTTTTTATGAAGAACAGCAATAAATCTTGCCAGGAAATGCCACTAATTTAACTGGTTTATTAGGAAACCAAACAACATTTCATCTTTTCATTCTCTGTAGCAACACAATAATGAAAAAAATATGCAAATACAACATTAAGTACCAGTGTTATTTTTGTATTCTTTTTATTTTGTCAATTGTTTATTACTATTTTGAATTAGCCTTTTTATATATTTTCAGTTTTCATTTGATATTTTATTTCTTTTTGTTTAAGTTTAGTAGTTTTGATATGTGCTTTTGTCATTTTCTTTTCTTTTTTAATATAGCTTTCTTTTTTCAGTTTTAGTAATTTTTGTACTTTTTAAAGACATTTTATTTTAGTAGTTAATCATTTTAAACAAACTTTGTTTTTTTCATATATTTGCCAAAGCAACATTTCTAATTTTCATTTAAGATTTGAAGGTTTAAGTTTTCCCTATGTTTATATTTACGTATATATATATATATATATATTTTTTTTTTTACCGTTTTTAAATAGATATAAAGGTTTTCTTTTATTTTTAGTTAACAGTAACAGCAGTTACAGAGTTATACATCGTATGCACAACCTTTGCTCTCCGTTTTGTTATGCCATCGCTTGAAAGCATCCTGGGTATTTGTCATGAAGTGAAAAATAGAGAAAAAATATGAATTTTTTCAAGTCATCCATTTTTTTCAGACTAAAATTACTTGAATGCACGTCACATTTCAACTAGTAAGTATGAGCTTCACAGACGATTCTGAAGGCAGCATCGACTCGGCAGGAAGGTGAATCTCTCGGGACTGAAGCGAGCAGCTATGTGCTGCATGAGACAGAAAGACGACTTTCAGAGCGGTGTGTCGTAGATTCCTCTGCATGAAATCTATTTTCCAGTGACGGCCGTGTCAGAACTCCTGCATTTCACACTCACCTTATACCCATAATTTCCTTTGACTTTGGTGTCCGTGGCATCATGACAACCCAGAAAGCGGCTTGCCAAGCTAATGCGCATCATATCGCGTGGATTTAGAAGTGCGGAGTCACTAGAGCAAATTTGCACACAGTATGAGCTCTGCTGTATATAGAATATGTAATAATCTGCCATATTCCCTCAGGTTCACCAGGACCGTCCAGCGATCAGAGTAGCAGGGCGTCCTCGCCGCTTTTCGACAGTGGTTTGCATTTAAATGGGAACTCGAGCAACACGGTAAGTCACCTTTTGTATCGTTGTGAGCATCACTTCTGTTAAGGAGCTTATTCATAAGCCTAGAAAGTGAGATGGGTGACAGAATCAGGTTGAAAATGCCTCTGTGTCAGATAGAGAGTTGGAACTGACTTCTTGAGCGCTGTGGTTTTAGGCGAGCATCACTATTATTTTTGCTCATAATTGGGTTTAGTAGTTTTGAACAAACCTATAACAATTAGTATTTAACTTGTTAACGAATTTATATCCCACAATTGCAAGTTATAAACTTTTTACAAATAAGTTTACTTCTCACAATTCTGATTTTTTTTCTCAGAATTTTTAGTTTACATCTAGCAATTAATAACATGCAATAGCAGGATTACTGTTATTCTGTTATATCTCACAATTATAAACAAGATAATTCTTGTTAATGGACAAAATTCCTTTTAGCAACGAGACAAGGCTACCTGTGAACCATCGTGAGCGTCCAACGCACAGCAGCCGGAAAACCAGAAACAACGTTCCTGGCGGTAACAAGCTCATTGATATTACCATCCCCTGTATCTTTCCACAAATTTGCGGCTTCACAGCTATTACACCTACCGTCAATTCACAATGGAAGGATCCACAAAAAGGGGCAGTGCCACTAATGGCGCATCCCAAGCCACAAAACACTCTCGTTTTTATAGTCCCCACAACGAGCTCTGATAGGTTTAAAGTTCTAGCATGACCCCAGCCAATAGCAATAAGGGTTATACCACCCTGCTACACTTAGTATAAATCTCGCAAGTAGTAACGTTTGATCGTGAGAGAAAAATGCACAATTCTAAGAAAAAAATCTGAGCTATGAGATAAAAAGTTGCAATAAACTTAATATTCTTTATTCTGTGATGGAAATAATGCTAAGGTGTGCTGTTTAGATCAAGTTTGCGTTAATGCCGCTAACAAAAATGTAAATGTAAATAAGTGTAAATGTCAAATTTATCATATACTGTGTTAAAGGTGCAATAGGCGACGCTTTCAGTGCTATCAGGCTAAAGTTAGCATTTTCCAAGATGTCCTACTACACCTTTAAACGAATAAAGTCTGTCAGGTAAAACAAAAGCATATTGATGCAGTTCAGTCAATATGCTTTTGTAAATATTTAGTTTATGCATAGAATTAGGTTTTAATTAAGATTAATAGTGCAACGCAAAAATAATTAGTTGTGTTTAAGATGTAGCTTACATCAAAACTAGGCTAAATTGTAGCTAATGTGCAGATGGTGCAACCCCAGATTATCATTGAGACTTTTTAAAATAGTGTTAGTTACCATCCATAGCACTACTGTCCTAAAAAGAAGCCTCATGTACACCGATGGCCCATTCAAGCAGGATATAGAGGTCATGTGTTTCTTCTGACCTTGAAATATCATTGCCAGGGCTCCTCGCTGCCAGTTAATAGAGTGAGGCAGCCACATGACCTGACAGACTGACAATATCCTGCCGTCATCTGAACGGACACGCTGTGCCTTGTTAAGTCACCGGTCACTTTCTTATTCAAATCAGAGAGCAGAGGTAAGGCAGACGTCTGACTCGATCTGCCCACAGACCACATGAACACACAGAGATTTACATGCAGCGCATTAATGTGACGACACGCGTGACACTGAGACTCTGGGGAAGCGGCGGTGCTGCATGTCGGCAGGTGAAGCTCTGAGATCTGCATACAGCCTCTGAAAATTCATTCACGCCTGAGAGAAAGACGGAAATGAGAAACGCAGTCTCAGAGCGCCGACAAATCAAGATTTCAGATGCCACCCTAAATTCAGTCTATAAATAGAACAGAGCTCAGAAACAGTGCTGATGACAGTTAGTAGATAGAGTTTTTGTTGCTGTGATGATGCTGGGTGTTTGCAGGGTGTTACTATGGGGTTGCTAGGATGTTCTGGGTGTTTGCAGGGTGTTACTATGGGGTTGCTAAGATGTTGTGGGTGTTTGCAGGGTGTTACTATGGGGTTGCTAGGATGTTCTGGGTGTTTGCCAGGGTGTTGATATGGTGTTGCTAGAATGTTGCAGGTGTTTACCAGGCTTTACTATGGCGTTGCTAGAATGTTCTGGGTGTTTGCCGGGTGTTACTATGGGGTTGCTAGGATGTTCTGGGTGTTTGCCAAGGTGTTGCTATGGTGTTGCTAGAATGTTCTGGGTGTTTGAAAGGCATTGCTATGGTGTTGCTAGAATGTTCTGGGTCTAAGAAAAAAATCTGAGCTATGAGATAAAAAGTTGCAATAAACTTAATATTCTTTATTCTGTGATGGAAATAATGCTAAGGTGTGCTGTTTAGATCAAGTTTGCGTTAATGCCGCTAACAAAAATGTAAATGTAAATAAGTGTAAATGTCAAATTTATCATATACTGTGTTAAAGGTGCAATAGGCGACGCTTTCAGTGCTATCAGGCTAAAGTTAGCATTTTCCAAGATGTCCTACTACACCTTTAAACGAATAAAGTCTGTCAGGTAAAACAAAAGCATATTGATGCAGTTCAGTCAATATGCTTTTGTAAATATTTAGTTTATGCATAGAATTAGGTTTTAATTAAGATTAATAGTGCAACGCAAAAATAATTAGTTGTGTTTAAGATGTAGCTTACATCAAAACTAGGCTAAATTGTAGCTAATGTGCAGATGGTGCAACCCCAGATTATCATTGAGACTTTTTAAAATAGTGTTAGTTACCATCCATAGCACTACTGTCCTAAAAAGAAGCCTCATGTACACCGATGGCCCATTCAAGCAGGATATAGAGGTCATGTGTTTCTTCTGACCTTGAAATATCATTGCCAGGGCTCCTCGCTGCCAGTTAATAGAGTGAGGCAGCCACATGACCTGACAGACTGACAATATCCTGCCGTCATCTGAACGGACACGCTGTGCCTTGTTAAGTCACCGGTCACTTTCTTATTCAAATCAGAGAGCAGAGGTAAGGCAGACGTCTGACTCGATCTGCCCACAGACCACATGAACACACAGAGATTTACATGCAGCGCATTAATGTGACGACACGCGTGACACTGAGACTCTGGGGAAGCGGCGGTGCTGCATGTCGGCAGGTGAAGCTCTGAGATCTGCATACAGCCTCTGAAAATTCATTCACGCCTGAGAGAAAGACGGAAATGAGAAACGCAGTCTCAGAGCGCCGACAAATCAAGATTTCAGATGCCACCCTAAATTCAGTCTATAAATAGAACAGAGCTCAGAAACAGTGCTGATGACAGTTAGTAGATAGAGTTTTTGTTGCTGTGATGATGCTGGGTGTTTGCAGGGTGTTACTATGGGGTTGCTAGGATGTTCTGGGTGTTTGCAGGGTGTTACTATGGGGTTGCTAAGATGTTGTGGGTGTTTGCAGGGTGTTACTATGGGGTTGCTAGGATGTTCTGGGTGTTTGCCAGGGTGTTGATATGGTGTTGCTAGAATGTTGCAGGTGTTTACCAGGCTTTACTATGGCGTTGCTAGAATGTTCTGGGTGTTTGCCGGGTGTTACTATGGGGTTGCTAGGATGTTCTGGGTGTTTGCCAAGGTGTTGCTATGGTGTTGCTAGAATGTTCTGGGTGTTTGAAAGGCATTGCTATGGTGTTGCTAGAATGTTCTGGGTGTTTGCAGGGCGTTACTGTGGTGTTGCTAGAATGTTCTGGGTGTTTGCAGGGCGTTACTATGGTGTTGCTAGAATGTTCTGGGTATTTGAAGGGTGTTGCTATGGTGTTGCAGGAATGTTCTGGGTGTTTGCAGGGTGTTGCTATAATGTTGCTGGGATGTTCTGGTTGTTTGCAGGGTGTTGCTATGGTGTTGCTGGGATGTTCTGGTTGTTTGCAGGGTGTTGCTATGGTGTTGCTAGGATGTTCTGGGTGTTTGAATGATATTGCTATGGTGTTGCTAGAATGTTGCGGGTGTTTGCCGGGTGTTACTATGGGGTTGCTAGGATGTTCTGGGTGTTTGCCAGGGTGTTGCTATGGTGTTGCTAGAATGTTCTGGGTGTTTGAAGGGCATTGCTACGGTGTTGCTAGAATGTGCTGGGTGTTTGTAAGGCATTACTATGGTGTTGCTAGAACGTTATGGGTATTTGAAGGGTGTTGCTATGGTGTTGCAGGAATGTTCTGGGTATTTGAAGGGTGTTGCTATGGTGTTGCTGGAATGTTCTGGGTGTTTGCAGGGTGCTGCTATGGTGTTGCTGGAATGTTGTGGTTGTTTTTAGGGCGTTGCTATGGTGTTGCTAGAATGTTCTGGGTATTTGAAGGGTGTTGCTATGGTGTTGCAGGAATGTTCTGGGTGTTTGCAGGGTGCTGCTATGGTGTTGCTAGAATGTTGTGGTTGTTTTTAGGGCGTTGCTATGGTGTTGCTAGAATGCTCTGGCTGTTTGAATGGTGTTGCTAGAATGTTCTGGGTGTTTGTAGGGTGTTACTATGGTGTTGCTAGAATGTTCTGGGTGTTTGAAGGGCATTGTTACGGTGTTGCTAGAATGTTCTGGGTGTTTGCAAGGCATTACTTTGGGGTTGCTAGAAAGTTCTGGGTGTTTGCCAGGGCGTTACTATGGTGTTGCTAGAAAGTTCTGCGTGTTTGCCAGGGCGTTACTATGGTGTTGCTAGAAAGTTCTGCGTGTTTGCATGGCATTGCTGTGGTGTTGCTAGAATATTCTGGGTGTTTGCCAGGGCATTACTATGGGGTTGCTAGGGTCTTTTGGGTGTTTTTTCCAGGGTTGCTATGGGATTGTTGGGATGCTCTGAATGTTTGCCAAGGCTTTGCTGTGGTGTTCCTAGAATGTTCTGGTTGTTTGTCAAGGCATTGCTATGGGGTTGCTGGGGTGCTATAGGTGTTTTGGCAGGGCGTTGCAATGGGGTTGCTGTAGGTGTTTTGGCAGGGCATTGCTAGGGTGTTCTTGATGTTTTCCAGGATTTTGCTATAAGATTTCTGGAATGTTCGGAATGTTTGTCAATGCAATGCTATGGGGTTGCTGGGGTGTTTTGTGTGGTTTATTACTGTCTCAAGTGAAAGTGTCCCTCCCCATCTCTCTGTGATATTCTGATCTCTAGATATAGCTCTGTTTCCTCCTTCAATGTAGGATTATACAATGTTTCTTCCATATTTTAAACACACCTCTATCCCTGAGTTTAAGCAACACCAATAGTGATGTTTGCCTTGACACATAATATGTGACACAATAGTCTCAATGGTGTGTTCAGATCAGCTCATTTGTCAGTTCTGTGTAAATGAGAGCGTCTCCAAGAGCAGAACTGTTTCTTTTAATGAAGTTCCTCTAGACGCATCATATTCCCACAAAAAATGGGAAGAATGTAGGAGCTCTTTCCAGGAACAGTGTACACAGATATGTCATTATTAAACATTGAATGGCACCCACTATGTCCAATTAACGTAAACACATGAATTATTTTCTTCTGTTGACTCTCTCTGCCTTTGCCAGGCATGGAAATGTGCAAAAACACACGCGGTGCTCTCCTGACTGCTGAGTTGACAATATTTTTGCTTTTTCTTGTGTTCCTCAAATGAGTTTTTTTCTAATCCTCTTGTAGTATTTGAGCTAGCAGGTGATTATAATTCTCGGAGCTTGTCGTCCCCTCCAGGCTGTTGTGACATTGAGCTGACTGACAGCATTTCGCTTTCATCGGCCAACGGGCTGGTGCTTTAGCATTTATTCATTTACATACTTGCCAATAATTAGCATAGCAGCTCTCTTTGCCAAATCTGGAGGTAGGGATGCCAAATAAAACTAGTATTTCGGTGCATACTTAATACTGAAATCATTAAAAATACACCAGTTTCACTATAGTAGTTTGGTTGTACTGACTCTAAATATTGTGAACAGTCAAAATACTGCCTTGATAATGTATTCATGAAATTCTTACCAGATTTGTGTCCAAATATTGGATCTGTGCTTAAAGCCTCGCAGTGCAGCCTAATAGACCTGCCTTCAGCTATTATGTTATTAATATTAATCCAACAACAATATTAACAAAAACAAAGAGATAACCACGTTGCCCTGCTGAAAAACAGCTTAAACAAGCCTTAAAGGTGGTTGGATATACAGCTAAACCAGCTAAGACCAACCTCTTGAGACTGTTTACTTAAAAAGTTTATTTATTTGCGAGATACTCTTTATTTATTTGCTTAAATGATTATTTGAACAATATATAATTATATGTAAATATGTACATGTACAATATATATGTACATATATAAAGAAAATACTGTAAATGAACTCACTTCAAGGCTAAATGGCATCTATTAATATATATATATATATATATATATATATATATATATATATATATATATATATATATAATCTTCTAA